AAAGAGACCAGACTTGCAAGCTCCGACAGGGGAGGTCAGCATGGGGATACTTCAGTGTGCCAAGCCAGAAGCCCCATTTGCAAGACCTGACCCTGGCGGCCTGGGTGCCAATGCCCAGGCAGTCCAGATCCACTGAGAGCATAACGAATGGCTCTACTGCTGAATCCAGATGGAGGCTGGTCCCTGTCCTGCTCTGTCCATGTCTTTGCAGTCACCAATGTGTGGTTTTAGCACCTTATGTGTAACTGTGGCTTTCCATTTTTTTTTTTTTTTCAGCTAAAGCCCAGAGAGGGTGTGTAACTTGTCTACGGCTTTACAATTTGAATCAAGGTCCCAGACCCTGTCTGACCAGGCTGGGCTGTGCTGGCCAGGGAGGCCTCTGTGCAGGGGAGTGTGGGAATGGTGACAGCACTACCCTGGGGGGTCTGGTGGTCGCAGGTCCACCACTGAATGGTCACTGGCCCCAGGCACGTCAGATCGGCTCCTGGCTGCCACCCCACCTGGAACCCAGGGTTTGATGTGGTCACAGGGGCACGCAGGGCATGTGTCTGCAGGGGCAGCCCTGGGATGGACATTGTAGTAGGGCTGATTGTTGAGCACCTGCTATCTAAGAGGCCCTTACTCTGCTGCCCCTTCTCAGTGCTACCTAAAGAGAGGAAACCTCAGCTCACGTTACCAGGAGAACCCTACACTCTGGAGGTGACTCCTACCCCTGGAAGCCCCAGATGTTGTCCCACTCAAGTCCCAGACTGGATAAGCTTAACTGAGCCCCTTGGACCTGCCCAAGCTGCCAGGCAAGTGAGGAGACTCATCGCCCTGCCTCCCCCCAGCCCAGCCACACCAGTTACATTCCTTTCTGGAACTTTTGAAGCATACACAATAATAGAGAGAATAGGGTAGGAACTCCAAGGAATATTCCAAGGGACCCCATGGAAACAGTCATTTCCATTTCCTTCCTGCCCTCGACCCCTCCAAATCACGCTGTAGTGTGGCTTGCTGGGGTTCCTGGTTTTGTCCTTCCTGTGCCTGTGAGCAACAATGGTCTTGTCTTTGGCCTGGACAGGACTCACTCCGTGGCGAGGCTGGCCCAGGGCCCAGGAAGCAATGCATAATGCCTGGGCAGCAGTGCAGGCTGCCAGGGCTGGCGGGTCCTTCCAGCTGACGCTCCATCTGCACCTCCCTCAGAGACAGGGCCACTTAGGAACCTATAAATCCCTGGCAGGGTTAGCGGCCCAGGCGAGTATATAAACTGGGACTCATAAAAGTGTAATGGTCCCTTTTGGACAGAGCCCAGGGGCGTGTGCCAGGAATCCTTGGGGGCGGCTCCCTGGGCACCACATCCTAGTGTGGGCTGCACATCAGCAGCGCAGGGTGGCTGGCGCTGGTGCCCGGGTCTGCACCAGGATTGCAACTCTGTATGGCCTCTGCCTCGGTCTCAAGTGAGCTCCTGTCAGGATCATCTGTCAGCTAAGACAGAGTAACTGTGTGAGAACCATGTGACAGCACACAGCTACCTCAGGGGGCAGCGAGTGTGGCCTGCATTGTGGGTTTTTTTTTTTTTTTTTGGATGGAAAGCATGAGGCAGGCAGGATGGGGCTGGTGCCTGGCTTCTCCATCGCCCGCCACTGCCTGCTCTCTCTAGGCACACGTCATGGGACATCCAAGTGCACAGGCATGTTGCTGCCCTACTGTGCAGTGTTCTGCAGAGGTAGGCCCTTGACTCCTGGCTCAGCTCTCTAGTCCCACGATGTGTTTAAGAAGCAGGCATTGGGCACCTGCTGTTGTAGGAGCTGAGCAGCCATCAGCCATCAGGACCACGGTGCCAGTGGGGGCTTCGCTGGCCTATTCCCTGGGCAGCTCAAGGTGTGAACCTGACTTGGCATGCCCTGGTTACCTCTTGAGTCCCTGTTCTCCAGGGGGGCAAACTAGGAGGTGAGGCTGAGGTGGCAATCTCTGTGGGCCTGTATAGGGGAGAGGTTGAGGATCACCAACCTCCAGGACCTGCCAGAACAGCAATCATCCCTCAGGGTTGGCATGTGGCACAGTAGATAAAGCCACTGCTTGTGATGCCAGCATACTAAGTTGGAGCATTGGATCAAGTCCCTGCCGCTCTGCTTCCAACCCAGCTCCCTGTTCCTGTGCCTGGAAAGGCAACAGAAGATGCCCCAGGTGCGTGGGCCCTTGCCACCCATGTAGGAGATCAGGATGGAGTTCTGGGTTCTGGCTTTGGCCAGGCCCAGCCCTGGCTTGTTATGGCCCGGTGAGGAGTGAACCAGCAGATACAATATTTGTCACTCTACTTTCAAATAAATAGAACCTTGTTCTTTAAATAAAGAGTGGTCGCTGGAGGATAGGACCAGCAGTGGGAGGGGATCCTGGGCCTGTCTCTGGGTTGAGATAGGGCCTGTGACAATGGCCTCCCTGCCAGTTATGGGAACCTGCAAGCCCAGGGCCCGCACAGCCTCAGAGCTCCAAGGGGCGATGATCCATGGGGGTTTCTAACTAAGGGGAAGAGGCAATCTGGCTTTAGGGGAGTGGTTCCTGTGGTCTGGGCACTGGAGATGAAGCCCAAGATCCTTCAGGCCTCAGTGTAGGGTCCTGAGTGTGCCAAGAGGAGCCAGGGCTTGGAGGGGAGACGATGAGGTCGCCATGGCTGTCGCGCAGTGTATTGCACAGGCTTTGGCGGTGCCCCCCTCCTCCTCTGCAGCTCCCACCACCCTGTCTTGTTTTGAAGCCCCTCTTTGTTCCCTGAGAGGTCCAGCTTGGTCTCCTTTTCTGCCTCTCCTGCTCTCTCAGTTAAATGGGATCCAACCATCAGCTTCCTGTGGGGTCTGCTTGCAGCACAGCCCTTCTGATCCTGACAGAGGTGAGTTCTCGCTGCCCATTTCTCTGCTGTGGACTCAGTGGGCACAGAGGCAGGCAGGATCTGTTCCCAAGCTGTCTTGTGAACAGAACGCAGCTGCAGCATTCTTGGTGCCCACAGAGCGGATGGGGCAGGAGGTAGGAGCCACAGTGGGCTGAGGGATGCTGCTCCCTCTCCACTATGGCAAAGGCTGGGGCTCAGGGACAAGTGAGAACCCAGCCTTGGCACATCTGCCAGGAACAAGCAGGTACAGAGGATGAGTGTGGGCACTGGAGCCTTGACCTGAGGGTGAACCTCATCTCTGCCACTTGCTGGCTGGGTACTGCAGGCAAGCTGTCAATTCACCGTTTATAAAGTGCAGTAAGCACTGATGCAAGAATGGAGGCAACAAGCGCAGTGATGGTGCCAGGGGCAGCCCAACCCCCTCTGTGTACACCTGCTAGAAACATCCCACACAACAGCAGATCGAGCTCCTGGGTGATCTTCAGGTCACTATACTGTAATTATATTAAAACTTCCTTGTTGGGACACAGACTCCTATCATGCACCTTGACTCCAGGATTCTTCCAAAAAAAGGGGCATGGAGATGGGCAGCACTCCCTCTCCTCTGAGAGCCCCCACTTTGTGAATGCCCTTTTCCCTCCACGTGTGTCCTTCTCTGCAAACCCGGCCTCCCTGCTCACCTGTTTTCTGCGTCTCTTCCTTGGACCTTTTCTCCCACAGACGTGAGCACTGGGGCTGAGCCACAGTCAGTCAGGGCAGAAACATGACAGAAAGTGTAGTGCCTGGCCTTCCCCATCTGGGATGGGGGGCTGTGGGGAGGGTGGCCTGAGCAGAGCCGAGACCTGCAGGGGAGGACGCAGACACCCAGGGGACACTCCCTGTCACCTTCCCTCCCATGGGCTGCCACCTGGAACGAACCTGGATGCCACACACTGAGGGCAGCCCTGGACATGGTGGGTGGGGCAGGCCTTTGGGGGTGTGGGGTTTGGGGAGGAGCCAGGGAACAGGGGTGTGAGGCAGGGGCCAGGGCAGGGGACGGGCTTGTTGCACAGCTCTGTCTTCTTGGCCCAGGGGCTTCTCTGCAGCCCACCTTTCTTCCTCTATGAAGAAGGGGACAGACTGGCTCTTTCTGCCTTATTTTGCTTTCTGCAGCCAGCTGCGCAGTTCAGGGCTTGAACTGGGTACTGGCTGCTCCTCCCAGCTCTAGTGGGGAAGGAGGAGACCCTCTCTAGGGATGTGTCCAGAAAGGGGAAGGCCAGGGGGTACAGGAAACATGGCCTCCCTTCACTGCACTGCGGCCCAGCTGTGATGACGGCAAGCATTTCCTTGGATATTTTTACCAGGTGACCTTCAGGTGACCTGCACAAGTGGTTGCTGGAGGGAGAGGGACAGGCAGTGTGTGTGTGTGTGTGTGTGTGTGTGAGAGTCAGGGAGGCACCCTCAGAACTGGCTCATCTCTCTCCCCTGGGCCTCAGCTTGTCAGGGTGGAGTAATGCCCTTGCTGGTCATGGTTTGCTCCCTGTGCCCTGCCTTCTGAAATCTGAGCTGCATGGATTTTCGTCTGACTGTGCAGCCCGGAGCTGCCCACTAAATGCCTCCCCTCCTGTGTCTACTAAGGGAAGCCCACCCCTTGGGGACATCCTAGGTCCATGGTGCATGGTGGGGGCCTGTTGTTCATATGTGGCCCCAAGCCCCATGGTACGGGCTCCCCCTCCTCGGAGGCTGCCCTTGGTCATCACCTCCACGCCGAACCACAAGGCAGGGCCAGGCCCGAGTCTTGTTTCCAGTTTTTAATGTTTTTCTTGTAAAACCAAAAATATAAAACTGGTAGGAGAACGGAAAACATATTCTGTACATTTTATATACACGAGGTCTGTGATTGCAAAACTGTGGTAGGGGAAGAAAAACAGGAAGACACACTCCAGGGAGGGGCACAGGGTCATGGACCCTAGTGGGCACCTGAACACCTGGCTTGGGCTCAACACTAATGCCCTGGCAGCGCTAGGCGGTGGCTGCAGCGCCCAGCACCACCAAGCCTCTGCCCAACTGCTCTGAACCTGGCAAACGGAGGGCAGGGTGGGCAGTAAGCAGATGAGCAGGGAGGGCAGGCAGGGGCAGGTGGCCGGGACCTCCCTCAGGTGTCTGTGTAGATTGAGGGGATGTGACTCAGGCAGTGGTCGAAGGCCCCATTGGGAAAGAAGTTGCAGTCCTCGGGGCCACCAGACACCACGTCTTCAGATGGCTGTGGTGGCAGCACAGTGGGACATGGCGTCTCGGCCAGGGCCTCGTAGCCTGTGGGTGGAAGGAGAGGGTCAGGCTGCAGGGCTATGGACAGTGCCTTTTGGTCTTCGCCCAGCTTTCATTCCTAGCCCTGCCTGATGGTGGGGGGCCCTTCTCCCAGCAGCCCCTTGCCTGGTGGGCCTGCTCTGATGTCTCTACTCTTACAGAAGGGGGAGGTGAGGAATGACTCTGGACAGGGGTGGGGGGGAAGTCTGTCACCCAGGGTTGGCTGTGTGGGGCTTCTTGCCTGCAGCTCCTGCTTTTAGAGGTGGGCTCCCTCTCCCTCCCCACCTCCCCACCCGCACTCTCAGCTTCCTTCTCCCCTGAGACCCAGTGCACAGAAGGCTCCCGCTGCACAGCCTGCCCATGAGACTACAGTTATCTTCCCATTTTCTGGCTGGGAAGCTGGGCTCTGTCTAAGGACACAGGACTGGTAAGCCGGGGAAGTGGACATGCTGTCTCCAGGCTGTGGTCACTGCTCAGAGACCTTCAGGGTGTCCCTCAGCTGCCGTTGTGATTCTGTGTGGCTTAAGACAAGTGGGCCTCAGTTTTCCCATCTATGTAATGGGGTTGAACTGAGTGTCTTGTGGCCCTAGCAGCTTGCCAGTGTAGATACAGTGCTGTGTGTTGACTTTTGTCTTGACACGCAGGTGTAGGTGGGTGGCAGTAAGGGGAGTGGGCAATATGGAGGGGCAGGCTAAAGTGTCTCTCTGGTGGAGGGGCAGGAGTGTGGAAGTCACTCCCCTGGGAGCCACCTGATTCAGGCTTTGCTTCTGAGAACCCTGGTCTGTGCTGGACGGAAGCTGGGGAGGCTGAGGGTGGGTGTCAGCAGTGAGGTGCCATCAGAATGTGCACAGATCACTTCCTGTGTAGGTGGCCCTCATGTACACCTGGATTGTGCACGCATGTGGCACGTGTTTACCCTCAGGCATGGGTGCACATTACACTCACACAGTCACACAATGCTCATGCACATTAAGATGTGTCCCCAAGCATGGGGAGACAGAATGTGCCAGTCATGTGCACAGACACATGATGGGGTCTTACATGTGCATACACGGACCTGTTCGCAGGGAGACCTGAGGTCTATGTGAGTTCGGCTACGGCCTCAGTACCTAGCCCCATGTCCTGGGCCCTCTACCCTGGCTGCACATACTCTAAGCACACACGGAGGCCTCCAAGGCAGCCTTTGGGGTCCCCAGCTAGACCCTGAGGCTAATTTGGGGTGGAGCCTTGGTGAGCCTGTCAAACACTCAGAGGGAAGCATCAGTGAGGGCACAACCTGCCAGCTGATACCTCCCTGTGTCTTCAGAAACCCATGGGCGGCTTGTGGAAGGAACAGGAACTATAGCCAAGCAGGTTGCAGATCCATAGCATCTGGGGACCTTTCTGAGCCTTTACTTCCCGATCTATAGAGTGGGGATGAGCCTTCTCACAAAGGGCTGTCCAATGTTGTAGAACAAGGTGCATCAAGCACCCAGCACAGTGTGGGGCTTTAGCAGGTGCCCAGGCAGACAGACAGGGCTCACCTGTGGTAGGGAAAGGTGTGCTGAGGCTGTGGTACCCATTTGGCCGCAATGGGGGGAAACTGTGGGCCTCCCCAGAGAGTCCGTCCCCACTGGTTGCTGGCTCAGTTGTCCGGTAGCAGTCACCATAGGGGAAGCAATTCTGGATGGAGTGGAAACTGCCCTGGTAGCCTGTGGGGAAGGAAGCAGGGGCTGTCAGCCAAAGAACAAGAAGCACTTGGACTTCAGGGAGAGGGGTAGAGTGTGGGTATGTTGGGTGGGAATGAGGAAGGGTTATGCCAGGGCACGGAAGATGCCAGAAGTCTCCTTGCTTTACCAGAGGGAAAGCTGAGGAGGGGAGGGCTGCAGCTGAACCACCTGTGACTGAAGCAGTGCTCAGAGGGAGCACTCACCCTCTACATGCCCCATCCCTCACTCTTTGCACCTGCCACTGCCAATGCTGCTCCCTCCCTTGGGATGCAGGATACCTGCCTCTCCTCCAGAAGTGTCCCTGCCTGGACCTTGAAGCCATCTGTCTCCCAGTGTCTCCCCCAATGCCAGACGCCACCCCTACCCCCACCATGCACACACACCCCCTTGGCTCCTGGCCTGTCATTCTCTGGTGCCTACCAGCCTCTGCAGGCAGCTACCAGAGCAGGAGGTGATGCATGCCACCTGAAGGGCCCAAGCCAGGGCTTACCTTGTGGGCTGGGCAGAGGTGGGGGTGGAGGACTCTGGAAGGGTGGGTAGGTCGACGTGCTGGGTAGCGCAGAGAAGGACTGGCCCCCTGGAGAATGGCTCTGGGAGGATGGAGGCCCGATTCCCTTCAGTGGGCTCACCATGGGTGAGAGGAGGCTGGGTCCCAAGCTGGAGAGAGAGCAGAGGGGACTGTCAGAGTGAGGGCTCAGCGTACGGGGCCAGGGGACCTCAGCTGCCCCAGCCTGACCCACAGGGGTGCAGGAGGGAGAAGAAACTTTTTACTGGTGAGTAGGTTCATGTTGGAAGGGTATTTCACAACCTGTTAGAATCTAGCAGGATCAATGGAGGGAAACGTGAACAGGCAGGTCAGAGGTTACAGGCAGGGCAAGGTGGACAGACCCGCACTGCTCCCCTGCAGCAGGCTGTGGGGCATCTTTGGGCTTGGGCTTCCCTGCCTGGCACTGTGTTCGCCATCGGCATGTGGCAGCTCTCACCACTCAGGGCTAAATAGCAGCCATCCCTGCGGGGTGCCTGGTGCTCCAGCTCTGTCCAGGATACTCAGAACGCCTGGGAAAGGGACCTATGGCAGTGACTCGTCACTGCCCCCATTTCCGACCTTGAGAGCACTGGTACCAGCCCATGCATTCCCCATCATTGCACACTGGTCCCTACCTTGCCCCGGCGTTGAGAAGCCAGAGTCCTTATGTCTTTTTTTGTAGATCAGAGACCTGAAGTCCAGAGAGGTTGCCAAGACACCCTTGGCCCCAGAGCACTGACCTCCCAGGTAACATGACCACAGAGAACACACTCAGAATGACAATGTGGTTTGAGCGCTTCCTCCAACCATCACTGCTGTCAAAATAAGGGATGGTCTAATGTCCAAGCTGGCCTTTCTTAGTGTATGTCAGGGACCTTCTCCCATCTCTTGTGGCCACCTCTCCTCCACTTGCATACCTCCTGTGACAGAGGGCTCACTACTGTCCATCATGTACAGCCTGTAGGAAACAGGCCCAAGACTGATCCCTGGAAACTCAGGGAAGAACAGACGCTGTGGAGAACAGGCGTTTGGGAGCTGGGAGTTACAACCCTGCAGCCCCCTGGCGCTGTCTTCCCAAGCCTCTGTGCCCATTCTCAGGGACTGCCATGATGCTGGGGGTCAGCTGGGCTTTGGGGCTCTGGGCACTAGGCCAAGGAGGCATTTACGTGTTTTGCAGAGAAAGAGTGGGAGCTCAGAGTTTGGAATTTTGGGTTTGTTGGTCTATTCGCATCAGAATACACTCCACTCAGCCGGCCCCAGGTGACTTCTCAGTAGGCCCACTAGCCTAGCCTGCCTTGGAGACCCGAGGCATTGATGGGACAGTTCAGTGCCTCTCTTGGAGGAAAGGGGAGCAGACAGAATCAGGACGGCAGCTTCAATCCTGCAGCTCACCATGAGCTCTCTGAGGATGGGGACTCAGCAGGGCAGGGATGCTCTCTAGGTACATGTCTCCTTTGAAAGGTCAAGAGCTGCTTCCTTGCCAGGTTTCCATGAGTTCATTACCACTGTCCTCGCAGGCCTGTCTCCCAGGGCCATCTCATGTGCTATAAATAGTGGACAGCTGGGTGGAACTCAGTGTCCTCGGCATGGGGCACGGCCAGGAGCATAGAGCCTCCTTCCTGCAGGCCAGTGCGCCCAGTGCCTGTGTCCTCCCTCCTCACCTGGACACAGCTCTGCTCTCTCCAGGTGGCTCACAGCCCCCTTGGTCACCTGGGGCCAGTGCTGGACAGCTGATAATGCTAACAAACAGGGACTACTTCTGGATCATTCTGCTCTGAAGCCAGCGCTCTTAGTGTTACAGAAGAAAAAGAGAACCAAATCTGGCAGAGAGCACACATGCATTTCCAAAGTTTGCTTTTGCTGCCTCAACTCTGCTGGAAATAACCACTGTTGCCCTTCTCACAGCTGGCCAAACACCACGGCCAGCATTCTGTGGCAGCAGCCACAAAGTCCTGTTGCTCTACCTGAATGCTCCAGGGCAAGAAGATGGGCTGTGTGCAGTGCCTCACTTGAGTGATGCAAATGATCCCCAATTCAAATATTTTGCACCAATGGCATCCTATAAAAGTTAGGATAAAACCTCACTGGACTGAAAGAATATGATGGACTTCATACATTACACAGGGCTGAGGGAAGGAAAAAACCCTACCCTGTGGGCATGTGGCGTTTGCTCTGGGCCAGGGTAAACACATTTGGTCTTGAAGTCAGGCCCTCTTCGCCTATTTCTGACAGAATCAGATAATGCTGTCAGGCAAGCCACCGGGGAGCCCCAGGGGCCCATCCCTGTTGACTTTGGCTGGCTGGGGAAGCAGCAGGACTTGCCTCCCACTGTCTTTTCAGGGAAGGAGAAAAAACCCCACAAAGCTTCCAAACCCTTCCAAGCAGGTGTGAGGGCCCTTTTTAGCAGGGGCAGCCGGAGGAGCTGGTGCAGCTGAGGCCCCCTCACCATGGCAGGCAAAGGTGGGGGGCACAGAGGGGCCCCGTCTTGTCATCACTGTGCCTCTCACAGGCGGCAGCAGATGATGAATGAGGCAGTACAGGGCATGCAGGCCGTGCAGAAAAGGGCTCTGTGTTTATTTTCCTCGGGTGGGTGGGAGGTGTTCGCAGGCTGGTGGGTGGGTGAGCAGGTGGCTTGAGCAGGGTGGGGCTTTGAACTCCAGGTAGCACAGTGGAGCCTGGCAGAGACTGTTTTCATGCTTCTGGCAGAGGGAGGGTGTGCAGCAGGGCCCCATTCTCAAGGTCTCCCTGTGCTCTCCGTGTGCACTGTCTCACCATGTTCCACCAACAACCTCTCTGCACACCAGGGCTTTTTGTACTATCCAACCACTCCTGTTCCTCCCCACCCTGGGTGCGGCCCTGGTACTGGCTCTCATCCTGCATGCTGCAACCCAACCCATACTGCAGGCTGTCCATACCACCGCTCAGCAACCCTAAGAAAACAGTCCCCTCTTGGGCTTTGGGACCTGGCCTAGTGGTGGCTTTTCACCAAAGCCCATAGCCCCATGTGACGGGTTACATTCCCCAGAACACCCAAAGATCTTACCATGCCTGCTCCTCTCTTCCAGTTTCTTCTCTCATCTCCTTGGGAATCTTCTTCCTCCCCAAACCCCTCCTACCAACCTGCTCCCCTCACTTCCTACTGGACTCTTCTCTAAGCTTCCACAGCCCTGTCTGCTTCCTCTTGCCAGGTCCTTGCCCCAGGTGGTCAGCCTGCGCAAGTCTGTCTGTCTCCTTGTCCTCACACTAAGCTGCTTCAGCATGGGAAGTCACTGGCAACCCCATGCCACCCATGGAATCAATGGCTGGAGCGATTAGGAGCGACCACTGCTTCGCTCAGTTAGGAGCGACCACTACTTCAGAGATCAGGCCACACTAACCCTAGGTGCGAGTGAACCAAGGCTTTGAGTAGCCTTGGGCAGGAAGGGCAGGAAGGGCAGGAAGGCACCAGGGACAAATCAGGCGAAGTCATTGTTGGTGATAAGCAATGATGGTCTGGAGTACAGGTGGGCGGAGCTGAGCCCCTCCCCCTGCTCATCTGCAGGAAAAACAGATTTCAGCTGCACCAGGGCCAGCAATTAACACATATGTCATTCCCAGCCAATTAAGCAGCAGCAATGAGAACCATATTGTACAAGAGGCTGACCCTCTCTGCAGTGCTCCCACAGTTAAGGGCTCCCAACCAGCCCTAGCAGCCTGGCTACTGTCAGGGCCACAGGCCCAGGTGGGTGCCACAGTGGGCAGGCTGTTCATCTAATGCAAGGGGGCACTGTGGAGAAGATAGAGTGCATCTCCTGAGGTCAGGGGAGGCAACTCAGAAGGCAGGGTAGGGTGGGGGTACGTCAGCCCCTCAAGGTCCTTGAGTGGGGAGGGACAGGTGCATGAGGTGAGGGCAGCTTTGAGTGAGCATCCAGACCACCTGGCTCAGGGGGCTGCTGGGAGACCCCAGTGATGTGGCACACAGAATGTGCTGCATACACAGTGGTTCTCTGCATCACCAGTGACAGCCAAACAGTGCGCTGGGCACCTGACAGGGGTACATACCCGTCCCTGGTGCTCTCGGCTGCGGGCAGAGGGGACAGGTGGTGGTGCGAACTGGCAGTGGCGTCCAGTGAGTGATGCCTGGAAGGGCCCTCATGCGTGGGGGACAGGATACCCGATGCAAGCCCATTATGGGAAGTGATGGTGCCAGGATACACACCTGTAAGGAATCAAACAAATGTAGCTGGGCTTGGGCCACTCCCAAGAGATGGCCATGGCTGGCCCAGAAGCTGTGTGTGCCTGCCTAGGGGGAGAAAGACAAGAAGAAACAAGCAAGACTGCATTAACAGAAGTTCAGGGGTCCCCTGAAGGCGATGATGGCCCTATTCTGTTTGGTTCAGGTCCTGGATAAGGGCAGTATCTGTGACTGAGACCCACCCTGATCAAGAATGGGGGCTGACATGGTGTGGCTAGGCCCCAGGTCTATATTGGGGACCTGTATGGGGCAGTTGCCTCAAATCTCTATGGGAACATTTCAGAAAAAAAAAGCAGTACATAGATAATAAGAGGCTTGCTCTGGATAGTCCTGGAGATGGAGACCCTTCAATAGAGAGGTAGAAACCAACCTTGAGCATGGTGGGACCTTCCAACAGGCTGTGCTGTTGCCCCAAGTAGAACACATTCACCATCCCCAGAGGTATGGGAGCCCATTTCGGGAGCCCCAGGCAGGCTCCCACAGAGAGGATGACTGCAGCGCTGGGCAGAAAACGGGCAGCAAGGCCACCAGGAATGGGTGCACGGGCTGCACACACGCAAGCTTCCAGCCATGCCCTAGTCTCAGCTTCTAACCCTGAAGATGACACCCTTTTTGCCACCTTTGCCCCATCAAGATGGGCAGGCTAACCAGGCAGGCTTAGGCACAAGGCCAGAGTCAGATAATGGTCCAGGGTGCCTAGTGGAGGTTGTGAATTTCAAAGACTTCTAGATGTTTTCACTAAGGATCTCCTATTGGGGAAAATGAACTTCTGTCTGACAGGTGCACTGCAAGGCTGTAAGTCATGAAGCTCCTGATTTTATCTGAAAACAGGGGCCCATTTCATTGAGCCATGCTGATTTCAATGTCTCCCCACCCCCAATCCTGGTCTGCAATTCAGGAATTCAGCTGGACTGCGACAGGGACAGCAAGCCCAAATGCCTTCAGCTGCATGACAGGGTGCAAAACAGTGCAACTCCAAGAGCTCACCATAGGGAGCAGTGAGGACTATGGCAAAGTGGAGAGAATGCTCCCTGAAGCCAACAACCACCACCACTGTGCAGCTGAGACCAAACAGATCATAGGCCCTTGGCTGGAGCTGCAGCAGCGGCTCCCTGTGGCTGGGCTGCATTAGGACAGACTACTCTGAAGACAAAAGCTCCTGTTAATTGATGTAGTACAGTCCAAGCTCTTGCTCTGTGCTATCCATTTATTCCAACCATCTCAGCCAGGATGAATGGGGGAAACAAAGTGATCCCATTTTAAGATGAAGAGACTAAATTTTACCAAAATGAACTGCCTATCCCAAGTCCACAGTGGGCAGCTTCCTGGCCTGTCTCCCAAGTGAAATGGCTTGGGACTGCCACTGGGACCGGGTGTGTGGGTGTGTGGCTTGGGACCACACACAGGCCATGACTCTTATGGCTGGCTGACTGGCTGCTGGGGTGGCCTCCCAGGCATCCTCCCACTCTCTCCTTCAGCCCATAGGCCCCAGCCTTCTCTCTGCTCCTGGAGGCAGCACTGCCCACCCCAGGGCCCTCTTCTGCAGCCTTCCTTGCCCACACACCCCTCCCCTTGCTGGGGCCTGGGGTGGGGAAGCAGGAAGGTATCTGGAGGGGCACGTAGGAGGGAGCCTGGCTCAGACCCCTTCACCATTATCCTCAGCACCTCCTTTCCTGCCCTGTTGAATCAATTTGGAGGCCTGACAGCTGGGAAGTTCTGCAATCCTGAGCCCTTCTCCCTCTGCCATGCTGACCTCATGCCTTGCACATCCTCACTGGCCATCAGTCCCATTGCCCTGGATCTGCTTCACATGCGCCGGCAGGTAAGCACCTGAGGTTTCCTAGGCAGGTGGGAGGTGGGCATGCAGTACAGGAGCTCTGCACAGTCTGCCAGGGGCCATCTCTCCTGTACCAGTCTCCCTTCTCTATCCTCTGCTTCCACCCCTGCCCGTGCAGGCCTTGGAGGGTGCAGGGAGGGTGCTAAGCCTGTGGATGGTACTGCATGGATGGGAAAGATTCAGTGGCTGCAGGGGGCCGTGGGTGTGGGCATGCCTCGGGCCTGTCCAACTTTGCTCTGGGATGCACCACTTAGGGACGTGGAGCAGTGTCATCAATCATCAGCCATGAGTGCTTAACCTCTGGCCCCCACATCTGTTCCCAACTGAGCTGCAGGCGTCTGCTATGCAGCACCCGGAGGAACCTGGCTGGCCCGGAGTTGGACAGGGCGGGGTGAGGGCCCAGACCCCTGGTGTGCCTGGTTGGTTCGTCTCTCATCATGGCACTGGAAGCAGCTGCAGCACAGGGCTTGGGATACAGTAAGTGCTCAGTAAACAGCAAGAGGACAGCAGACTGGCTAAGAACACAGTCAGTACACAGATGGACTGAGTTCAAATCCTGCTTCTACTACTTGCTGGCTCAGGGCAGTGTGTGCCTCACAAGGTTGCTGTGGGGATCACAGCAATGCCCACATATGTACTCCTGCTACACGTCCTTGCAGCTGTCCTCTTAGCAGGTCACGGAGGGCGACTGAGGCCCAGAGAGAGGAAGACATGGCTTCCTGGCTGTCCCAGAGCAGGAGCAGCAGGTGCTGGCAAGGCGTCCTGGCTAGGGACTGGACAAGATGTTACGGGTGAAGTGACTGCCCAGGCACATGTCCCAGACACAGGTGCTGTGGGCCTTGTCCCTCTCCCTAGGAGGCACCTGGGGGACAGGTTTTCAAACTCTTTGGATGACCTGGGACCAAGACTTTTCCTGGCCTAGGCCTGCGTTCTCCCAAGCTATAACCTCTGCCCGTGGGGAGCAGTCACTGTGGGTCAGCTGCAGCTGACTTCCCTGCTTCCCTGCAGCTTTAGGCTCCTTCTTAACACTGCTCCTCCCCAGGCAGTCAGTGCCAGATGCTGGGAGGTTGGGCTGAGCATCTCAACAATGACTTTTAGCCCTGCTACTTTGGAATTCTGACACTGCAAGAGGCAGCCTGTAATAGGGGCATATTGTAGGGGGCTGTCCCTCCTTCAGGCACCTTCTCTCCGGGTGAGTCCCTACTCATGCCTGAACACTGACCTCTGGAGAGAGGGGTCTATGAGAAAGAGTCAAAAACCTTCTCATTCGTGGGCTGTCTGCTGAGTGCTCTGACATATTTTTAAATCTGCTGCTGCTTCAATGTGGATGGGGAAAGAATAAAACATCAGAAAATTTTTTACAAAGTTGAAAATCGTTGGAGTAATTCAAGAACTCCCAGAGGGTGGGCAGAGCTTTCTGCTGGGATACTGCGGTTTCTTTAGGGGCAGTGGGGGGTAGAGCACAAGGATGGCAGCTGGAATCCAAAGGCTAGGCTGCCCTTATCTGGGCTGGATTCCTGCTGTGGCCCAAGGCCTGACCCATGGCCCTGTAACTGCTGCCTGCCGTGGCTGTACCAGAGGCTTTGCAGGGCTGGCAGAGGACCCTGCAGGGCCTCAGAGCCTCACAGTGAGCTGGAAGGGGCTTGCGTCTCGGGGTGGGGATTAAGTGGATTTCAGGTTGAGGCACACAGACCCTTCTGGAAGGCAGTTTCTCGTTGGGGGTGCCTTGAGCAACATGGGCCATGAGGAAGGGCCCGGAGTGCAAACCCCAGGAGCAGTGCCTCTCCCTGCCTGGCTCTGCCCATGACCCATACTGTAGTGAGGGCCTGAGCAGCCAGACAGCAAAGAGGCTGACAGCCCAGAGGAAGACTTCCTGTAGGAGGAGACAAGCAGGCAGGACTTAAAGGAAGGACAGGAGCTGTCTTAGCGGGCTGTGGCCTGAGAATGCAGAGGGAGCTGAATGTTCAGGGGCCGGCACCCTGAGGCTGGGACAAGAGGCCCTCAGGAGGCCAAGGGCAAGGCGAGGAGGAGTGTGGAGGAACACTGACTCATGACAAGAGTCCCTGGGAGAAGATGATGGAGAAGCCTGGAGCTGGCAGCAGGGAGGCAACCATACCCAGAGGAGTGGGTATCCTACCTGCAGTGCCCCACGGAGCCTCATGGCTCTCCCACGGGAAGGGATGGCAGAGAAGGGTCCTTCCCAGGTGGTGCCCTGGCCCTGCCTCCCCACACACATACCTGGCAGCAGCTCCTGGCCCAAGGCTCGGCCACCCTTCCCGTCACTGGCAGTCAGCTGTGTACATGCCTGGAGCGGTGGCAGGGCCAGGCATTCTGTCAGGACGTCGGCCTCGGCATTGGAGCCCGTGTGCAGCTGGGGAGTAAGCAAAGGGGGAGGGTGCTGGTGTGAGACCACCTGTCTGTCGGCTTAGGGGGGCAGGACAGGAAGGAATGGTGTTCCTGGTCACTGTGCCTCCATTTCCTCCTCTGTGAAATGGGGCTAACTGTGCCCACTGTGAAGATCATGCTGGTCTGGGTCATCTGAAAAGCAGAGACACCAAGATGTGTAAGGATTTTCAAAGAAAGTGCTGTGTATGAAGACATGGGGGCCAGCCAGGAAGGGACCCCAAGGAAGCAGGGAGAAAGAAGGGGTGGATAGAGTCTTCCTGGATGGGAAGTCAGGGCGTTCACAGGGAGCCAGAAGCAGGGGTAGGGGTTATGGGACTCTTAGGAGCCTGTATTCTGAGGCACTAGCTGGGAGCGCCTGTGGGAGGCGTGGTCTCAGGGCACGAATGGGGTTCCCCACAGTAAGCTGCGAGGCATGGCCGTCCAAGTGAAAACAGATTGGGGAGGGAGACACAGTAGGCAGGCAGTGAGGGTCTGATCCTCCCCCCAAGCTCCTCCCTCCAACCTCTTTCCTTTGTAGTACAGTTACTGTCCAGAAGAACTGGCCTCAAAGCCTTCTCCACCTCTTATTCCCTGAGGGACACTGAACAGAGGACTGACCCTCTTTGGGTATCGCCACCCTGCCCTGGGCTGCTAGAGAGGAACAACACAGGGGTTGGAAGACACTTTGTGCAGGCCTAGCTGGACTGCACTTGGTGGCATGCTGCTGGCCCCTGTGGATGGAACTATGGACTCAAGATCATTTGACTTAGGGCAAGTGCAGGTTAGGATGTGCCCAGGAACCTGAACAGTCCCCAGCCAAGAACTCTGGGAGATTCCCAATGACAGTCACCCTGGGTGGCCTTCACCACCTCCCTCCCTCCCAGGCGGGACCAGTGTAGGGGATAGGTGGGATCTTCAGGATGTTGGGTGAGGAACGGGATGGAGGGTGGCCAGACACTTGCATGGGAGGGGTCCTTTTCCTCCCAGAGAAATCCCACTGCTCAGCTACTACAGCCAGGAGTCCTGGCGACTGGTTGCCCCAAATGCCCCGGGACACAAGAGACCCAGAGAAGGTGAGGGCCTCGTCCCAAGCCACTCCGCAGCCGAGAGTTAGCCCCAAGGGTTTTTCCACTTTCCCAGCAGAGGGCCAGGTCGCGGGCGTGGGGAAGGCATGGCCAGCCTGGCCGTGGCACTCGGCTCCCTGACCCAGCAGCTGTTTTCCATGTAAATTAAGTTTCTGGCAAGAGAGAGCCAAAGCATGTTCTTGCAGACCGCAATGTCGATCGGATTAGGAGCAGCAGGAGAGGAGAATTAAGGAAGAAAAGCATTTCTAATTCTCTCTGAAACGCAGCAGGGCTGCCAAGGACTTGTCATAATATAAGGGTCGCTTTACCCAGAAAGATACATCATCCTGAGGGCTCCTAATGGATGCTTAGCATTGGGAAGCTTACATATCTGTGGCCTTGAGCCTCCAGGGGCTCTGTGTGTGCCAAGTACAGGGCCTGGGAAAACCAGGGCAGGATTCTGGTCCTCGGGCACAGGTTTGCTGGCTTGGGACACCAGCTTTGCTGGCCTGGGAGCCCCAGCCTAGTGAGGCTTGGCCACTCCTTGCCCCTTACTGCAGCTCCTCAACCTGACAGTGGTGGGAAAAGCTCAGGCCCTGGAGCCAACGGGGCCCAAGCTCTGACACTCTCAGCCTTAGTCTCCACACTTGCAAAATGCGAACAAGAATGGTGGCTACTGCTCAGCTTACAGCAGGGAGCAAATGAGCTACAGCACAGGAAGTGTCTGAGCTATGGAGGCACCCAGGGCAAGTGCTCAGCCTCCTTTTCCAGCATGGCCAGGCAGGTGGCATTTCCACAGAGAACTCTCCGCACAGGTGCTGACCTCCTCTGCCTGTAGGAGACAAAGTCCTGAGCTGGCTGCCCTCACCCCATCACCTTTTTACCCATGTCTGTGCACTCTCAGCACCCACCTCTGCCTGCCCCATGCCACGTGATGACGGCAGCCTGAAGGACCTGCTGCTTCACCCCTTACTAGATCCATGGTGCTTGCAATGGTGCTTGCAAACAGAAGGTGCTCCAAAGATCTTGCTGAGCAACAACTGAGCTCTTGCTTTCTCTCTCTGTGTACTGCTAGTGTCCCGTTCCCTTACCAACCTGGGTCTCTGGTGCTTTCCTTTACCCCACAACCTCCCTGACATTCAAGCACCTCCTCTCGTGTGGTCCTCCGGAGACTGCATTAAGCCCAGGCTATAGGCTCTGCCCCAAGCTGCTGCTGTCTACCTGAGGCCAGGCTGCCTTGGAAGCTCGCACAGTCCTCATCTCAAATGGAAGCTGCTGCTTGTTCTTGCAAACCTGCTCCTCTTACAAATTTTCCATCTTGAGCAGATGGAAAGGTACCACACTGCCCTTCCTGTCTCCCAAAGCCTGGCCCTGGGACTCCTGCTGTGCTCCCTATCCTGCCCAGCCCATCCCTCTGAAACTCCCTACTCTGCCCCAGGCTGGTCCCCACCATCTCTCAGCCCCCTAAGCAGTGGCTTCCCTGCCTCAGATTTCCCTCCAATCATCTCAACCCTTTCTCCCCAGGTCTCAGAGCCATCTGTCCAGGTGACAGGGCCCCTTCTCTGCCTAAGACTCCTTCAGGGCACATAGTCTGGGCTACTCCTCTTCCTCCCTGCACTGCCCAGCCAGTGCCTGCTGGTCCTGTACAAACCACAGGGGTTGGGCTCCAGTTTGAACTCGATGCTGGTCTCTCTCTGGAGCATGCACTTCATACCTCCACTGCCCTGCTCAATAATGTGAGAACCTGCATCCCGTCCATCCTGAGTTTTTCAATCTCCGGCCTGTGTGGTTCTAAACTGCTTCCCACCATGACGCGGAGCAATAAGAAGCAGGCATGTGCCAACTCTGAGCCAGCAGTGCAGGGTTCCTTGGCTAGCTCCAGAGCTCAGAGCACTCAGCCCTGGGACCATTTCTTCCATAGAGTCTCCTGTTTCTACCAAGAAGTAGTGTGCCTGACTACTCCTGCTCACTGCTGTGCTATCCTAATATACTGTTTCATCACATTATGTCTGTCCCACCCGCCAGGCACTGAATGCTGGGACCCCGCCATCTCCCTTTTATATTCCCAGTGCCTAACAGGGCTGCGCAACACATTTATGATGCAAGTTATGGTAAATGGAAGGAGCACAGAGTGGGGAGCCCCTGGGTGTCGGCGGATAAGGAAGGAAGGGCTGTGGGGCAGACACACCTGGGTTCTGGTGGGAAGCAGATGGACAGAAGGATGGTGGCATTCCCAGGGGAAAGGACTGGTGAGTGCAGTCAGGGAGCATGGGTACCTGACATGACATGACTGGTGACCGTGAGGCCCTGTGGCTGTCTGTTGAGCAGGGCCTGGCACAGAGACCATCTTACCTTCTCACGCACTTGCTGCTCCTTGGCCGAGTGGGCCTTCACATGCTTGCGGAGGGAGCTGGGGTCTGTGTAGCGCTTGGAACAGCCAGGGATCTGGCAGGCATACGGTTTCTGTAATATCAGAGGGCACAGGAGGAGTCGTGAGGGGCCCCTTTTAGGGCCAAGGTCCTGTAGTGTGACATGCTGTGCAGAGGATGAGGGATGAAGGCAGGTGGCATTCCATAAGGGCTGGCAAGGAGCCTAGCCTATGGGGAGCAGAATGGGCTGGTGAGGAGACGGGGCTTGTGTCCTCACTCTACCAGGGTGCTGGGACCTTGGTGGGCTGCCTTCTTTCTCACTTTTCTCCTTGCAGTTTGGGGCTAATTGAGTTCTACACTGGATCTGAGGACAGTGTTGCTGTTATAGCCCATAGCTGAAAAGCAGCAGTGAATGCCCAGGGAGTAAAGTGAGGCAGGCATCTAGCAGTGGGGGGAAGAGGATGAGCAGGGGCGGGGGAGGAGGGAAGAGTGGGGCAAGGTTCAGAGCTGTGACCAGACTCTAGGGGACCAGAGTCCTCAGACTGCTCGCTAAGCAATAAGAAACACAGCCCCACCTCCCAAAAACTAGGCCAGAAGGGAGCTGGCCTTCAGAAAACCACAGGCCTTGGACCCCTTGGAGGTCATGTCCATTGCCCATGGACCCCTAGTATCCACCACCAGAACATATAAGAGCAACCCTAAAACTATCCCACTGCCTCAGCTGACTTCCTGCCCGCAGGCCTCTGTGCTCCTCCCCATTGCTGGCAGCAGTCCCTTTGGAGTAGGCCATGCTACTCCATGCTCTCAGAACATGGGCCACCTTCCAGCACCTCCCTGCAAGCCCCTGCTCCTACTCTTGCCCCCATGTCCACTCAGCCACCACCGGACTGCTCACCCTGCCTACTCCCAGGCCTGTGCATGCTCTGTGTACAGTGATGTTCCTCCCCGCTGGGCTCCACAGTATCCCAGGCACAGCTGGGGCTTGTGGCTCCCATTCTTTACTAAGGGGCTTCTACAAGGCCCTGCCTAGAACCTCCAGCTGCTCCTGGGCTTGTGGTGGCTATGGCCCCACAGTACCCTCTCCCTCCCAAGGCTGCAAGGGATACCATTATGTTTGCAATAGGTGTTAGGGACTTTGGGGCTGACATGGATCTGCCCTCCACCCTGCCAGACTAAGGAGAGGCCGCTCTGACCTTGGACCCAGGGACCTAGCTGGGGGTAGGAAGGGAAAAGCCAAGAAGATGATCGTACCTTGATGCTGCCGTTGGAGGGTTGCCAGGTAAAGAAATGGAGGAGAGCAAAAAGAGAGAGACAGAGCAGTGAGAAGCCCTGAGGCTGATGGGAGGACACGGGGCAGAGGTGGGGAGGGCCAGCCGAGAACTGCCCACTTTCTGCCTCCAGCCCCACGCACGGCCCCTCTTCTGAGGCCTGACCCCACCTAACACACAGATTCACTCTCCCTCTTTTCTCAGGGTCCTGTCCTGGAGCCAGTCTCCTGCTCTGTCCTGTGGAGAAGCTGATACCCATCTACACAGATTTTTCAAAAAGCAAACAAACAGTTCAGCAGATGCAGGCCTGCTCGCCTGGAACAGGGCAGCAAGGTCTGTCCCTGTGTTTGTCTTTCCAGGCCCGGCGTGTGCAGAACATTCCTCAGGCCCAGCTCCCCTGGGTGCCCTCAGGATACCCGTAGCTGCCCCAAGCCAGGAGCCAAACCTCAGGCTGCAGTCCCCATAAGGCTACAAGGTCTCTTGCTAATGACAAGCCTGCTTGGCCAGGCACTGCGTGAATGGTCCACTGTGGCTCACAAAGCCCTGGGGTCAGGGTAGCTCACTCATGTGGGCACTTTGCCAAGCACTGGTCATCCATGACCATTTGGAGTACTGCTCCTACCCCATGAGGATCAGCCTTGCCATAGCGAGTAAGCCAGCAGGATGCCCCAGCTCTTCTGAGATCAGCGCTGGTCCAGGGTGCAGGCTATGTGTACTTGTGAGCAGGCATTGGCCTCCTCAGGCCCCCAACAGCATTGGCATGCTGCTTTAGGGAACAGCCTGTCCAGTGCTGCCATCTTTATGCACATGGTGGGGCTTGGCCCCTCCTTGGCACACAGCTGCCGGCTTCCCAGGTCTGGCACAAACAAGGGGAGGGAATGGAAAGAATGGGCATCTGAGGTCACGATGGCAGCAGCCTAGAGTCCTGAGGGCTGCCTGCTGTGACTCCTCACTTACAGTGCTCAAAGGACAGGAGACTGTGGAGGGGATGAGCAGGGTAGGGGCTGCTCCAGGGGGAGCCTACTTTCCCCATTGGGTGCATTGGCCAGTACCATGGGCCAAAACAATGGTTCTCAACTGGAGATGAATGTGCCGCCCCCACAACCAGGACATCTGGCAATGGCCAGGGACATGATGGGTTCTTGCCCCTAGGGGATGGAAGTTGTCTCCTCTCTGTCTAGAGGATGGTAGATAGGTAACTGCCAACATCCAATAACTCACAGGACCCTCCCTGCTGAAGACACTTCTTCCGCTCCAGATGTCAATGTGGCTAGAGGGCAAAGGCAGGGTCTGTGCAGGGCTACTGGTTCTCCCAGGACACGTGGGGGCCTACCGTGTCAAGGTGGGTGCGTTGATGCTTGGCGCGGTCGCTGGAGTTGCTGAACGCCTTCTGACAGCCCGGGTGCTGGCACAGGTATGGCTTCTCGCCCGTGTGGCTCCGCAGGTGGATCTTGAGGTTTTCCAGCCGTGAAAAGGCTTTGGTGCAGCCTTCAAACTACAGGAACAGCTGGTGAGGAGGGTTCTAGGCCTACAGGCACTCCCCTAACCCCCTCTCCCCACCCACCTTCCCTTCCCTCCTAATCCAGGTCCCAGGACCACTGGTTCACCTCCCTTAGAAGGGATCAGGACTCGACAGAAAGCGCATGGTTTAGCCAGGGCCAGGGAGAACATGGCCCTTCCCCCTTGTACCCCTGAGAGAACCCCTTCACAGGGCCACCTGCAAACTACGTGCTGCCATGGCCATGGGAAACCCCACTCAGGCCTCCGAGGGCAGGTGCCCAATGAAGCCCAAGCAGCCTTGGCATCTGCAGTCTGAAGCATGGAGCTGTGCCAAGCTCTGTCCAGCAAAACTTTCACCGTTCAACCCATTTCCTTTTTCCACATCTGGGATGGTGCAGCCTCCATCCTGTGTGGAGCCCAGTGGTATGGGCTGCTAAATGTCAAGGAGCTTGTCCACATGTAGGGCACAACCTGCATCAATACCAACTGCTCTCAGAATCACCAACACTCTTGTTCCTGAGGCATCTTCCATTTATCATCTGGCCATCTGGCTGTTCAGTGCACACCTATGCCTAGCACTGAGCTGGGCAATGAGGCACAAGCTCAACTGTGTCACTGCCTGCCCCCTGTCAGAGGGTAGTGGGGGGTGGATGCAGCAATAAATGACAGGGAAGAGAAGGAAAGGGGAAAGGGGAAAGGGGAAAGGGGAAAAGGGAAAGGGGAAAGGGAAAGGAAAGGAAAGTGTGTGTGTCAGGAGGCAGGGGTTGTAGGGAATGCTCTGTCTACCCAGACCCTCCTCCAGGACACCTATCCCTGAAGCCTCTACCCAGCTCTGCCCTCTCCCAGGAGTTTCCTAACTTCTAATTCCTCCCTGCCTCCTGCTGCTCTCTTCTTTTCATGTGGACTCAGAGGAAACTGCTGATGTAGCGATGGGATCCTATAGTTCTGTCTAAAGTACTTCTGGCCTGGTACTCAAACTGCTTTCCTGCCTCTCTTCTAGGCCAACAGTACCAGAGAACATCAGGACCCAGCCAGTTTCGAGCCTTTGTTCATGGAACTCGCTCAGCAAAGAATTTTCTGTCTTGGAACAATCCATCGCACTCCCTCCCCCAGCTGTCAAAGTGCAGCTTCAATGCTGGCCAGAGGAGGCAGCAGACTGCTGTGTGAGCACCTCTGCCTCTTCCCACCCCTGCCACACTTTGCAAGCCTGCCCCTGAATCTGTTCCCAGGCTGATGTTCTGGTTGCATGCAGGCACCTGTAGCACACAACAATCCTGAAATGTGTGTCTCAACACCCTCTCTCAGGTATAGTGACCTATTTGAGTTCACAGGGTTATGACATGACAAAAACAGGATTCAGGCCAAATCTCACATCAAAGCCAAGGTGGCTGTGCTTACCCACCACCTTCCCAGGGGTGACTGGGTAGGGGGAGGTGACCCCTGAAGAAGAAGACACCAGCAGGGGCAGGCCCTTCCTCCAAGCCAGGGCCCAGGTGGAGTTATCGGTGTGTATTAGAAACACTGCCCCCAGCCCTCTGAACCACGGTCAGTCTGGGCTTCCAACAGCAGATGGCCTGGAATGAAGAGGGCGCAGTCTTATGTTCCAGTACCTAGAGCTTCCACAAGCCTGCTCTTGCACACTCTTTCTCTGGAGGGTTCATCTGCATGGAGAGGAAGGAGTGACAGGCTCCTATTCACATCCACTTTTAGAACCCCCTTGATCTCCCTCTTTTCAGAGCTGGGCACCACATTCTGTTACCCTCCCCAGCTTTAGAACCACCTTATCTGCTCGTGAGTAGGGTGGGGACAGTAGCTGGAGAAGAGCACTGGCAGCTTTCAGGTCCTGCAGTCCACCTGGGGGATCGGTGCCCCAGAAGTATTTTGTGGTGCAGGCCCGTTCATTTGGACAGAATGACTCCAGCCGGCTGGGTGAACCAAGATGTGAGAGGAGGACACAGACACAGGGTCTTCCCTCCGGCTGAGAGCCCACAAGGGTGACACACACCATGGCCAGCCCACCCCCAGCATACAGCATCATGGCTGAGCTGTCATGGAGGCACATACAAGGGCTGAGACATCTCAGCCAGCACAGGGGCTGCAGGAAGCTTTTGAGGGGACAGATGACTGCACCGGGCTGGGGTGGGAGGTGTGGAGAACACAGCAGTCAATTACCCAACACTAAAGCATCTGGGTTATTCAATCACTGGCTTGTCTGAGTCTGAATCTAGGACCCATGTGGTTTATCCAAAGATGACCATAGGGCAAAATGGACGCTGAAACCCAGGGAGGGCAGGCTGCAGTGGGCAAGGAGCCTACAGAGAGGTCAGGATCCAGACAGTCAGGCTCAAACTCCAGGCTCACACTATCCTGGCCACAGCAGGGTCCATGGAAGGGCTTTAAGAGGGGACAGGGACAGATAAGCCCCCTCTGGCTGCTGGCAGCAGGTGTGGGCTGGCAGAGGGACAAGGAGAACGCAGCTGTGCCAGAGAGATGAGGCCCAGTCCAGGGCTCAGGCAGTGAATGCAGTGGAGGACAAGGTGGACTGTCCAAATGTGAAGACAAGGACCCAGGAACAGGAATCAGGTCCCAGGTGAACTTCCTCCTTGCCTCTCTTTGGAGGCCCAGCCACACTGTGGGTTGTGACTGCTGGGGCTGGTCCAAGGCCAGCCAGTGGCAGCTGGGTTATGGAGGCTGTTTCACTTCCCATTTCCAGATGTTATGCCTTTTCCATGCATCTAAACTCAACTGTTCAGAACGCAGAGAGGGCTCAAGCCTACTTGTTTGCTTGACATGTGTCTTGTGCGATGGAGGGATGTGGACAAGAGAAGAGGGCTTCCTTTCAGCAGCTAGCTCACCCCACTGCTCCTCTGGTGCTGCACAGTATGGAGAGACTGTGGCAGAGGGCAAAGACTCCTCCTGAGCGGTGTGTTCTTCCTGAGAATGTGCCAGGCTCTGGAGACAGGTGCATCATCTACTCCCCCAGCAGGAACTCCTGGGGCCAATTCTCCCATCTCAGCCCAGCTGCTCTTGCCCCAGGCTTGTTTGTCCTGTGCTCCTTCTGGGACACCTTCTCTTCTGACTCTCCCACATCTCCCAGAAGTCCAGAATCCATGGCTCCGTGTTCGTGGTCTTCAACATGGCCTGTCTCTCCTGTCTGTGCCCCCTCTCCAAATCATACCATAGCTGTGGTGGCAGCAAGCAGTCAAGGCTATTGCTGCACCTGCCAGGAATTCCCACACACTCAGGCCTTTGCTAGGGCTGTTCCCTGGCCTGGAATGCATTTTCTTTATGCTCTCATTCAGCCGGCATCGATGAAGCACCACCTGCCTCAACATACCATCTCCATCCTCTCCTCTGAGTTTGTGTGGTAGGTTTTCATGGCACAGTCACCCCTCCTCTCCATATTCCACGCTGAATTTGACAGTTCTTTCTCTGAGGGCAGGGTTGACATCTCAATCGCAGGGTTCAGCGGTACAATCCAGGGAGCAGATGTTTAGCCTAACAGGTAAGATGCCTGTGTTCCACCACTGGCAGGTGGTTTGATTCCCATCCCTGGCCCTTGACTACAACACTAACGTGCACCCTGGGATGGCCCAAGGTAGCTGATGTTCTGCCACCCATGTGGGATGCCTGAAAAGAGTCCCTGGCCTTGGCCCAGTCCAGTCCTGGCCACTATAGGCATCTCTCTCTCTGTGTAATTATAGGAGTAATGAAGAGGTGTGATGTATTTCAGAAGGAGTAATAATGAAGACTGCTGGGCATGAGGGATCATGAACACCAGTGTAGAGTTCCTCACTCTAGTGTTCCTTAAAGTACCGCAACACGTCTATGCACTTGGATGCCAATGGACCATGCATCCATGGATCTTAGTCCAGCTGCACCCCACACCCCTCGGCTTCTAAACATCCTAGAGCTGGGGTGCAGGCTGGACTGTCATGTGCAGGCCAGGCTACCCTGGTGAAGTGGTACTGGCCCTCCCCCTTTAAGACAAGTCTAGGAAGAACACATTGCAGGCACTCCAGGCACAAGCATGTCCACACCAGGACCAGCCATGGGCTCCTCCTCAACATTTACATGAAGCAGAGGATGGGAGCCTTCACTGGGTCAATATCTACTGTGTGCTTGGCTCTGCTGGGCCCAGCGTTGTCACAGATGTCATGCCTCCTCTCCACTGACCCCCTGGACAGGTATGACTGTCCCCTCTGTCAGAGGTAGCTCAGTGGTGACAGAACTAGGCTGACTAGAAGCCTATGTCTTAACTGTACCACTTACTGAATGGCCCATGCCCAGTCAATTTTCTGAGCCTCAGTGTTCCATCTGTAAAATGGGATGAATGCCATGTACCATGGAAGATGGTTGTAAAGATTGAAAGGCACAGGCATGGCAAGTGCTGATCCTGGCAGCCAGCTCCCATTACAGCAGGGATCACCTGAGGACATAGCAGGGAAGCTGTGGTGTTGCATTCCACTGGAGATGGCTACCTTGGCCGCTGCCCCACTGCAGAGGTAGGAGCCAAGTATAATGTGTGTGCGACCTCCCTCTCCCTCACCCCTCACCCCTCTCCGTTTGCCTGCTGCCTGGAACAATCTCCTTTCTATATCCTGGCTTATAAGGTGAGAGAAGGGTACCAGGCTCTGCCCAGTCTAGGGCCTTGGAACTGGCTAGGGATGGAAGTCAGGGAGCTGGAGGCCCTGCCCTTCTGCCCCAGCTTTCTAGGCAGCAGTTTCCTCAGCATTCTCCTCCCCTTCCACAGGCCCTTCATGCTTTAGGGCAGGTTTTGTCCTGAACAGGCACCTGCCTCCTATGGCCAGTGTCTGGATATCCAGCCTTGCATAAGAGTTGGATACCTATATGTAGGAGTCAGGGAGTTCAACTGCTTCCACAGCACCAAGGGCAGAATCTGGGTTAAGCCACAGTGAGTCCTTCTATCTCTTCTAGGAAGCCACTGGATTACTCACTTGGAGCACAAGGCAGCGGCTTCCCTCTACCCCATCT